CTTGTCTTCTGGTCTGTTGGAAAATTGTCTTTACAAAAAATATTTCTACTAAAATTTTAATATTGATTTTAATATCAATTAGCTCTAAAAGTTGAGGGGATGCACTTTGTGGCTATGGGGGCCGCATGTTTGACACGGCTGCTTTAGATCAATAATGACTCATGCTTGCCCTGCCTAGGAATTTACGGCACACACCTACACTTAAAAGTATAACGCCTGCAAAACAAGGTTCTCAGCACTGCTGGAAGTTTTCCAAGGTGCATACTGGTCCTTGATTTGCACACAGGTTTCAACCTTTCCTAGGTATACGATTATATAACAAAATTGTGCAGACGACAAGCAGAAGTCACAGAAAATCATGAGAATGAAAATGTTCGTAGTATAGGGCAAGGCGAAGCCACAGAAAATATAAAAGGCTTAAACTTCGCGGTGGTCAAGCTTAACGGCCGTTCAAGTGACTAAACTGCCGTTGTAGCATAAGATAGGTAACACAGGCATGATCTGCTCTGCAACGCCTGTAATGACAGGGGACTTGTATAATAGTGCACAAGGAAGAATTTTCAATAATATGCTATATGTGCTATGTGGGATACGTACACTTGGCAAAGGCGAAGCCTAGTCATAAGAGACAAACACTTTTCCTAGACAGACACGATGTTACATAGGGACTATGACCGCAAAGGTTCAGTTGAAGGAAAGGAATATATGGTCGTGGGTCTCAAGGGGCCTGACGCCAAGACGAACTAATTGACGGTAAACCGCCAGTCGTAAAGTAACTCTGAGTCTCTCTCTCTCTCTCTGCATGTTTCACATGTAGCCCATCCCGTGTTAAATCAAAATTCTACTCTAATGCAGCCCTTCCCTTGCTCACAGCATAGTCCACTTCCTAACATTTTAGTTTCTTCACTTCCCAACGCTTTACCTCTTGCAAAAGTACCTCTACTAGAAGGACCAGGAGACATTCTTCGGAAACCCTCAAAGCAGAACACTTTTCTGTGGCCTCCCCCAAAGCAGTGTCCCACACTACTCCCCCACATCCTTCTCTCTCTCTCTCTGTCTCTTTTTCAGGTTTCAAAGGATCATGAGCCTCGTGTGTGATTTTGGTGGGTAATGTTTCATTCGACCGAGTCGTGCGACTGCTGCTCACCGCACAGCGCACAGTGCTCTCACCGCGACACTTTACAGCCCTCACCCCACCCCCACCCCCATTGTCGTACTGGGATTAAGTTAACTCTTCTTCCCCTTTGTTAACAGATAGCCCTATAAAGAAGATCCCTATTTGTCCGACATTGTTCAACTGGGCGGGACGGGGCGGGGGTAGGATTGCAGATTACTGTGAAGGGGAGGAGTTAGTGGTTGCAGGCGCGAGGCATTTTACCCCATATCAAGACCACACAATGTAAGTAAGAAAGAGGCATTATAATCCGTCACTGCTGAAATAAACCCGTAGAATTAGGCGCTTGAACGCTGGCCGAGGTGTTATAATGGCAGCCAGTTGCCGCTATCATTGCAAGGATGGGTGTGAAACTTGGTCTCTCGCCCCAGCGGAATAAAAACCACATTTGAGGATGTCTGAGAACGGGGTCGTGGGTCGAATGTCCGAATCTGAGTCACAGGAAGTGACAGCAGACTGGAGAAAGTTACATAATAGAGATAGTCGTAATTTGTAGTCTCTCTAAGATGTAATTTGGATTATCAAATCAGGGAGAATGAGACCTGTTAGAAGATGTGTAGCATGTGAAAAAAAAAACTGACAAAAATACCTAACTTCAGTAACTTTAGCAGTTTTGGAAATATCATCATAATTTATATCACGATAATGAACTCGGCAGGAGCTGCAATGGCTCAGTCGGTTAGCGACTGGCTACGGGCTGGACGGCCGAGGGGCCGGGGTTCGAGTACAGGTAGGAGCAAGAATTTTCACTTCTCCATATCGTCCAGACCTGCTCTGGGGTTCACGCAACAATGGGTACCGGGGGCTAGTTCCTTGGGGGTAAAGCGGCAGAGGAGTGAAGCTGACCATTCACCTCCAGCTAGTGCCGAGGTCATGAAAATGTGGATCTATACATCCACTCCCCCATACGCCTTCATGGAGTAGTGCTTAAGTAGTTAAGCACAGGGACAACTTTACCTATTGAAATCGGTGGACTTACAGTATGCACTAGTCCGTGCTGCTATCTAGAGGAATTTCTTCGGCAAAAGCGGACATTGTAATAACACATCCAGCATACCTTCTATTGCTGACATCTTCTGATCCTATTCGTAACATGCATAATGACAGAAGAACTCGGCTTGTATTTTGAACTAGTGCTGTACCCCTTGCGAAATCTCACCACTTTTTATATAAGTTTACGTATCATTAACTTCCCCCGCTTTCTCCGTTAATTTCTTCTGTGTGTTATCCAATGGTACATCGAGGTAAAGGATTAACACCGTATCTCAACAGAACATGCACAGTCAATTGTTAACCCTCTAGTTTATATACCACGCACTATTTCACATATCCACATCAAAATATTGTCGCTACTCACATAATAGACACGATACAGATAAACAAGAGATTGCTCGTATGTTCGTGATCTGCTGCATAATGTAAACTTATGTTATGTGTCAAAGCTCCGCAATTCGTTGCCATGGTAAACCGGTGTTGCGTAATTTAAGAGCTTTCATCTTTCCGTTAAATTTGTTCCCGTGTTTAATTCGTTAAGCACTATTTCATAAATATATAGGGGGAGTGGAGATGTAGCTCCACCATCCTTTACCTCGGCACCAGATAGATGTCAGTCGTCATCCCCCGGGAGAAAAGCCCCCGTACCCACTGGATAGGAGGATGAGTGGGCCACAGAGCCGGTCTGGACGACGTGAAGAGAAAATACTTGAACCACCTGGAATTCGAACCCCGGCTCCCCATCCAGTAGCCCGTCGCTGTACTAAATGAGCTATCCCGACTCCATACACACATATACATAAAAGGAATTAGCCTCAGACAAAGAAGAGCACAAACATACACTGAAGGTCTACAGAAATGACTCCTGACTGTACTTACCGGAAGGAAGGTTGTCCCGCGTTCTGCGATTCTCATTTTCCCGCAACAATGTTTTTAATTAGCGAGACGGCCGCCAGGGGGCAGGACGTAGAAAACATCAGCGAAGCGGGAGCTGTTAAAAAACAGAAGAAGAGACTGGAACGTGAATCATAATAACGATAATAAAAAACAGAATAACGAGATTTTCTCGAGATGAGAAGTGAAAGAGCGGAAATTAAGCCGCGAAGTCCCATTATCTTAAAGTGAGCTTTTGTCTTTTTATATCAGACAATAAGGGACAAGCGGGGCGCTAACTGAGCCTCTGCTCTCCCTTCTCCTTGCATTTTAATGTTGAAATTGTAGTTTTGAGAGCCACCTCGAGGTGAAATCACGAACTAAGTTTGCGAAGGAAAAATTCTTCTGCTCTGATTTTTAACGTTAACTGAAAGAATAATCATTGTTTCTAGTTGCGCTGTACGCAGACATGAGAATCATCTCCAGAAGATGTACATATATCATTCTCACACAGTCAACTGTAGAAAAGTTTTAACTAATAATATTGTGACGCATAGACAATCCTAGACAATGACTCGGTCAACACATACCCGCGTGAGTGAATGCGCGCAAAAAATGGAAGTCTTTGTTAGGCAACGTATCATTAAACACGCCTAAAACAATACGGGACAATAGAAAAGGGGTGTTTTCTATGAGTCCGCCCAGAAGACATAACGAGAAGTCTCACAAACCTGTGGACCTCCACGGCCTGTTACATGGATATCTCTACATTTTACTTTTTTCCTTGCAAATTACCATTTAAATTTATTTTTGACTTTTTACCTTCCCCTCTCACCATCTTGAGTCTTCTGGAAATGTAACTGCTGTTAGAGAGACTGGCATAACTCTCTCATGTCCTACATTCCATGCGACTCATTTCAATATTGATGGGTTATGACGCGACAGAGACGGGTGATAATGTAGTTAATCCTATTCTACAATTATTATGTAGAATATTTGAAATGATGTGGGAAATTACACAAATTTCATGCTATGAAATTACGTCATATGACAAGTGTCGAATCGTTCTTTCAATAACCGGCTGAAGTTATCTAATTAAAGTATTAATTGGCGCGCATATACACTGAACTATTTTGGATTCACCACACGCATGCGCGCGCACGCACGAACACACTGCAGCTAAAGCTGTGCAATAAACTGAGTTAGTCCGTAACTTGCACTGTACATGAGAAAGGCAATCTTCACATTCCGACGCTAAGGACATCTCTAGAAATCGCTTACTGAACCTTATCTATTAACGTTTACATTATCTATAGCCTAACATGTAGGAGCCGGAATAGTTCAGTCGGTATAGCGACTGGCTACGGGCCGGACGACCGAAGGGTCGGAATTCGAGTCCCGGTAGGGTCAAGAATTGTCTCTTCTCTATTTCGTCCAGACCGGCAGTGGGGCCCAACCAACCTCCTATCCAATGAGTACCGAGAGGTTTTCTCCCGCGGTAAAGCAGCCGAGGAGTCAATCTGACCACTCACTTTCAACTAGCTTCGAGGTCAAGAATGCATGAATCTATACATCCACTCCCCCTACACCTTCATGGCGTACAGATTAATTAGTTAAGCATAGGGACGTTACCTTCATATCCTAACATGTTTATGAAATGATTTATCTATGACCTATTTTATTATCTAAGCAAATAAGTGCAGGCCGATTGCAGTGGCCGCGCGATCTAAGGCATGAACTGTCTTCGCCCGCTCAAACACGGCGATCATGGGTTCGCGTCCCACTCAAGGCATGGAAATCTGTGTGCGTTTGTTCTGTGTTTGTGCTGTCCTGTGTGTAGGTAGCGGCATTGCGAAGGGCTGATTCTCCATCCAAGGAGTCACACCGACTAAGAATTCTAGAAACTGGAATGGCGGAAAGGCCCAAAAATGGCTGAAGAGCCATAGATGTATGGATGGACGGACGGACAGACAACTGAATGGAATGAAGTTGTCCTTAAGCGTAACTAATTAAGCACCATGGCATGAAGATGTTGGGGTAGTGGAGGTATGACTGCAGGTTCGGCTGGCATTAGGCGATAAGTAGTCAGCTTCACGCTCCCGCCTTTCCACGCCGTGGAAGGAGACCCGATGCAAGTTGAATATGGGGCTGGCTTGACCAAATAAAATGCTTAATGCCTTAAGATTGCATAACTAGACATACTGTGGCATGTAGAACCGTTGCTAGGCAACGGCCGCAAAACAAACAACTATGCAACAGCCACTGCTAAGTAACTGCTCCGCAAACAAGCATGTTTCCACGACAACAATAATGGACGCTGTCCGTACCGAGATGTGAGGACTGCCGGGTTCAAGTCCTTGCGAGCTGTTGCCGTTAGAAACCGGTGGCTGAGGTCGGGTACCGTTCCGGAATCCAGAGGAAGGGGAACGTCCGCCGTTGGAAGCCGCAACCAAGCAATAGCAATGAAAACGTGACTGTAGATAGTAATGTGTTAATAATAGTGAACTGTAAAGTGTAGTCACGAGTTGTTAGTAGTCCAATAAACCGAGTCATCAATCAAAAACCCGTCTATGACCACGCTCCATCACTTGACAAGATTAAGAATTCCTGCAGGTATTTTCATATTGCAAGATCAACATGCATTAAAAACCAATCGTGGCAAGATTAAAATAAAATCACTGTAAGCTTATGATTTGTATATCGCCTCCTTGTGGTTACGGCAAACAGAAATATTTAAAGGCAATTCAACGATAGGCCTACGAATGTAAAGAGGCTAATACTAGGCGCATATCATAATCACTTCACTGCCGGCATCTTCAGGGAAAACATGATGTGAACCTCTCATGGAGGACGAATATAATGAATTCTTCACTCCATCAATCGCGACAGTGAGAATCGTGATGTTTCGAAAACGATCTGCGTCTCCATCATCAGGATTATATATTTATATTACATATTTATATTTTAAATCGGTGATACGAATGCTGGGCGATGATGTAAAACGCTAATATAATCAATCATGATTTTTCGAAGATCCTACATAACTTGCTGGTGGTACATATTCTGTGCTCCAGTATTTTTTGCAGTATTGAAAAGTACACACGCACTGCTGCTGCTGCTGCGGATGGAAGTGTACTCAAATTTCTCTGCTACTCTGCTACCATTTTGTTTCCATTTAACATGACGTTTATTACGATTCGCTGAATATCGCTTGGATGAAGAAGACCGAGCTGACTAAAACATATTGCTTACATATCGCTTGGATTAAGATTGACTGGATTAAGCTTGATTTAAGATTTCTTGCTTAAAGGCAATTTAAACTAATGTTTGTTGGCTTACTATCATATTGTCACGTGCTTGGGTGAATAGAGATTGATAATTATATATTGATCCGGTCTAGAAAACCGAAATTAACGGTCGTGGGGAATCGTTACGCTGACCACGCGACACCCTCTACCTGCTAACGTTGGCACTAACTTCGCCGGAAAGCGGCGGTCGCTCAGTCGGTATAGTTCGCTTGGGGACTAAAAACACGGAGTTTGTTGTTTTTGTTTGTAATTACAAACAAAAACAAACTCCGTGTTTTTAGTCCCCAAGCGAACTATACTGGACACTGGACACTTACAGAACGTAACTACAAATAACTACGGCAGTCTCACCGAATTACACACTCCAAAGATCACTGTAACTACAGCACATATACAGTCTTCTGTCTTCACTATCCGTTGCTTGGTAGGAGCTTCCAATGGCGAACGTTCCCCTCCGTCTGGTTTCCCGAAATGTCCCCGGCCTCAACTACCGGCTTTTCAATTCTCAAAAATGCGGCACTATTAGTCCTCGTTATATACCCCCGGAACGGACCGCTCAGAAAACGTCTCTTCCATCACTGTGTTCTCTCGTCGCCGGGAAAACGTGTCCACAGAGCCGTTCCCTGGCAATGGATGTTTTACTGTCGTCTGTTTACACAACTATTAACTTGTCAATAAGTCTATATATCACAGTATGAAAGATTAGAAACACGCAAACCTACAGGATTTTGTTCGGAAAACCTAACGGAAGAGACAACTTGGTAGACCTAATCGTAGATGTGGTGTATACATTAAAATAAATAGGATGCGACGCAGTGGACTGGACTCATCCGGTTCAGGATAGGGCCTAGTGGTGAGCTTTTTGTCAACACGATAAAGAACATTGGGGTTACATGAAACACGAGAACTTCTTCGCCGGTTGAGCTACCATCAGCTTTTCAAGGAGCAATGCGCTCCATGAAGTAACATAGGCGTGCTTTGCAGTAAACCAAAAAACTATAATTACATATTAATTACCTAACCGCCAAGGCTGAACGTAATGTATAAATACCATACCGAAATGCATTAAATTAAAATCATATGCAATTAATTCGCACAGGAAACCGTGAGTCTGGTAGCTGTTCTCAAGACGTTAAGACAGCATTCATCTGAGTCTGCAGTGGGCATCACTTGAATGTCACATACGGGTTGGTGCAGTAATAGGCACAATAAGAAATGTACATCAGTACAAGCTTTTGATTTAGTCTATCCCATATGGAATTCAGCTATGAGGGACAGCCTGCAATTCTAAAATCGAAATCCTCGAGCGCTTTCAATCCAAGACTCTCCGATCCATTCTGAACGCACCTTGGCACATAAACTATCACAGAATCCATAAAGATCTGAAAATGAAGACAGTGCTCAGTGAAATAAAAACCTGGAATACCAAACACTTAAGAATATTAGATGACCACATTAACGCACTAGCAGCGAACCTACTAGACAACAGCGAAACTACACATAGACTGAAAATATACACCGTCCTAACTACTAGACAGACCTGAGTAAAATCCCAATACAAGAATTAGAATGATCATCATCATCAGTAATCTGTCAAGACGACAGGTCCACAGTCTCTTTCAAAACAATTCCTCCACTTAATGCGATCTAGAGCTTTCTCCTTCAAATGACAGTATCCTCTTCTGTCCCCAAGGTCATCCAGCATCTTCTTACGTCTTCTTCCTCGTCTTCTTGTCACTTCTATCCGCCCATCTATCTTTCCTTCGATAGCTTCTTTTAGAAGGCAGTTTCTGCGTAAAACATGACCAAT